AGGAAAATTTTCCTAAAAACCAGGTACCACCCCCACGACCCCCACGGCCGAATACGACATTGACCCGATAAGAAAAAACTTCAACCACGAGAGGGATTTCTTAGCAACGTAATATAATTCTGAACTACAGTACACAGCGGACAATACTTTTCCCTGAAGTTTTGGAGTCTTCTAGTGATGTTCGTCTACTATATCGATGTTCGCCGGATGCTGCTTTGGAGGAAATAAAAGTGGTTTCAAACACATTTTTTTCGACGACAATGACAAATCGACAGCTTGACGTTTTCTTGATTAATGTCATGGAATAGCTCCGAAAATAATTATCTGACCAACCTGCTGAAAAACATTTGTCCTGAGTCTTGTCGTTTTCGATCAACTGCTTTCCAGTAGTTTTTCAAGGTGAAAAAGTCCCTGAACAAAGCAATTATTAGTAAGAGTGAAGACAACAGTTTCTGCTCTTACTGAACCAGATGATACCCAGCCAAGATTGTTCGGAGTCTCAGCAAAATGAGACCTGCCAGTTAACATGAAAAAGTAGCCAGCGAATTTGCAAAATGTCCCTCCCATTCCGAACGTCGGCCAACCAACTTTCTACATCACACTTGTGTGCCCTTTTTCGGAGTATCACTTCGATATTGGACAAGGAAGGGATAAATTAGCCACTTGAGAAACTCGAAGACGAAGGAAGTGATTAATTGGCTATTAGTGAGAGATGTAGTATACACGTCAATCGGGGTTCTCAAGTATCTAACTTGTAGCCGCTCGTAGCCGCAACTCCTGTCACGCAAACAATTAGACTTTGGCCTAACTCTATTCACGTAATATTGTGTGGATAGAATATAGTCCTAATGTCGCACCTCGACAAACGACTAACTGAGAGAAGAAATTGTATCTGACTCCTTCGGCTTGTTCCCATATAACTAAGTCGGACTCAGATGGTTTAGTTGTAGTGACAGTCGACGACTTTTGTCACGGGCGAGTTCCCGGGGTACAATATTGAACTAGCCCTGCCCAGACAAATAGCGCGTTTCAGCTGTCCGGGTCGGATGATGGGTTGTAGACATCCCTGGGAGGGAAAGCAGTGACTTTTGCAGCGGCACGTCGCACGGGTGGAGCGTTTTCTAGTCGCGGCATCGCGCCACAAGCGAATTTGGTACTATT